CCCCCCCCCTTTTCAGTCATTTGCTCCAGCTCCTGGTCCCCTGGTCTTGGTCCTTGGCCCTGCCCCCTGATCATTTAGCCCCACCCCCTGGGTCTCTATTCAGTCCAGGGGTGTATCTGGGCTCAGCTGTGGCTGGGTCTGTGCCAAACTGGCAGCCCAGACACCCAGGTTCTCTCCCCAGCTCTGGCAGGAGGGTGGAGGGGTTTTGACTGGGTTGGAGTGGGGGAGGGGCATCAGGACTCCTGGGCTCTCTCCCAGCTTAGGCAGGGGTCTAGCAACCAGCCCAGACACCTGGGTCTGCTTCCAAGTCGCTCCCATGGCTTCAGACCGGCTGCATCCGGTGCTGGACGTCCGGCTTCCTGGCAGGAAACAGTTCCCCGGCCTGTTTCAGCCCTTGCTGATGGTGTAGGGCATGGAAATCCTGCCCCTGCCCCTGCCCCCTCAGGGGAACTGAAGCACAGCATGGGAGTGGGGCTGGGTTCCCAGCAGCAGAGATGGAGAGGGGGCAGATGCAAGCAGCCGAGAGCCTGGATTCCATCCCAGCTGTGGGACCCAGTAGGCTAGGAGACCCTGGACATCTGGGTTCTGTGCTGGCAGGAGAGTGAGGCCTAGTGGGTGTGACTGGTAGGAAAGGGGGCTGGGAGCCCGGACACTTGGGTTCTCTCCAGCTGTGGCAAGGAAGTCAGGGCTGGGGGTTAGAATAAGGGTAGCTGGGAGCCTGGACTCCTGGGTTCCCTGTAGCATGGCTCACCTCCTTCCTTCTCTCTCCATCTCCAGGCCTTCCACATCTCAGGCATGTTCCAGCCTCAGCGCCTGGCCCCCCAGCAGCTCCCTCCCTGCTCGGACAGCCCCACCACCATTGGCCACACCCACTGCTGAGGGGAGTGGAGCAAGGGCCAGGACCCCTGGGGGGCCACCCCCTGCTGGACACCTGGCCCAGGGGCATGGGTTCATCACTGGAAGACCCACTATCCTAGGTCCCAGCAAGACAGGAAGTCCTGCTTTTTCTTGGACCCAGACATTGCCAGGCATGACAGGAAGTCCTGCCTTTTTCCTAGGTCCAGACACTATAGGAAGTCATTCCTTTCCCTGGGCCCAGGAACGAGAGGAAGTCCTGCCTTCCCTGGGTCCAGATGCTACAGGAAGTCCTGCCTTTGTGCACATCATGGAAACTGGAGGTAGCTCTGGAGCAGTGGAGCAAAGCATCACAGGAAGTCCCACCTCCTCTCAGAAGGGCATTACAGGAAGTCTTGCCTTCCTTTGCCAGGACTTGGCAGCACCTACAGAGGAAGTCCCACCCCCCCACACCCCTTGCCAGGGCATTACAGGAAGTCCCACCCTTCACGCTGGGATTTCCCCCCTCATTGAAGGATAACACAGAGGTCCCTGACACCCCACCAGGATCAGGTCTTCCCACCCCCTTCACCCCCCTACAACTGGGAGTGGGGCTTGGACTTGGCTATGGGGCACCAGAGCGCCCAAACTACTACATGAAGGACAAACCACAGGCCACAGCACCCAGTGGAGGGGAGGCATCAGGAGACCCCACCTCCTCCATCCCAGTGCTCCCAGTTGGCTAGTCCCAGTAATGTGAATATGAATTTTGTAATAAATGGTCCAGGCCATCTGCTGGGCTGTGTGCAAGTCTGGAGCAGTATCCCACCCCAGAGCTGCCTGCATCTTCTGCAGATAAAGCCTTGATTGTCCCCTGGGAAGAGAGAACAGGGGCATCCCAGCTCCTAGTCCCCCCTGCTCTACCCCCCCACCCTTCCCCCTTCCAACACTCTCCCAGAGCTGGAGGGAACCCAGGCACCCCAGCTCCTAGACCTCCTTCTCCCCACACTGCTTTCCAGGCTTGACCTAGGTCCCATGCCTGGCTAGGGTAGGGGAGTGGGGTGGGGAGTGGGCTGGTAACCTGGACACTTTGGTTCTCTCCCAGCTCTGGGAGGGAGTTGGGACTAAGGGTTAGAGGGGAGGGGCTGAAAGGAGGATGGTGTCTTCTGCCCTCAGACTTGGGGTTCCCCCTCCTACTTTCCCTGCCCCCATTGGGGCCTGCTGGGGAAGAGGAGGAGGGCTAGGTCCCTGCCCTGCAGCCAGGGAGCAGCTCCATTGGTAGAAGTGGGTCCCAGACACACATGGGCAGGTACCATGTATTGTGTCGGATGTGGGGGGTGGGGGAGTGTCCAGAATACCTGGGGTCTGATTGGGGAGTGCATGTGTCCTGGGCACGGGGGGGGGCAGGACACCTGGGTTCGTAGCTGGGGGTGCCTGGTCTCCTAGGTTCCAAGGGGCTGGGCTCAGTGCCTGTATGTCCCCAACACCTGGGTTTTCTACAAGTTCTTCCCTGCTGGCTTCCTGCAGGGGCTGTGTATGGAGCTCTGCCCTTGTGTGGGTATCCCCAGACCTGTGTTTTCCAGCCCGTGTATACCCATGTGTGTCTATGCACATGTGCCATCCAGGCGTCTGGGTTCCTGCCTGCACTCCTTCCACTGCCTCCAGCTCAGCTCTCATCCCTGCCCCCTGGCCCACCAGCTGTGCGGGTGGCTGGATACTCATCTCTCAGCCGTTTCCCACACGCAACTACCATGACCCTGGGGAACAGGGCCTGGCTCAGCCCCCTGGGCTGTAGGGACTGCAATGCAGCCACCTCTGAGGTGGGACAGCAGCCCCTGGCCCTACCGGTGCCCGGCGCTCCCCACCCAGCCCCGGGACCGGTCCGGGTGGATGAGCAAGTTTTTCCCTGCCAGGGACAACGAGTTCGGAACAAGCCTGATGTTATCTGCAACACGCCCTGCTGGGGGGACCCGCCCAAGGCGACCGGCAGTACCCCCCCTTCCCCCACTCCTCCCTGCCAGTGCTGGGGGCCGGGCCTGTGCCGCCCCCTGGGCGCTGCATGGCTGCGTGTGGCTCTGCCGCCGCCTGCTGGCTGACAGAGCGGTGCGGCGGTGCTGCGCATGCGCAGTGGCGCAAGAAGGGTCCCTACAGGCTGGACCTGCCAACCCCACCTGCGGGTCCAGGAAGAGGGACGTGCTGCCCGGCCCCCACCCGGCCGGGAGCTGGACGGACGGACAGGGACAGGGGGCGTGGAGATGACCGGATGGATGGAGAGAGAGAAGGATAGAGATAGACAGATAGCGATAGAAGGAGAGAGGGAGGGATTCACACAGACGGAGTGATGGATAGAGAGAATATATACACAGACACCAATGTGTGATAGAGACAGAGACTGCATGCATGCATAGGGTGACAGAGGCATGGATGAATAGGTTAACGGATGGGTGGATGACAGAAAGGTAGAGAGATGGCTGGAGGGATGTAGACAGACGGGTAGATGATAGGCAAGCAGGCTGGATGGGTGGTGGGTGAATGGAGAAACGGGTGGGTAGACAGAAACAGACAAAACGCACAGGAAAACATGTATGATAGACAAGATGGATGGATGGATGGATAGATACACGGGGGAATAGAGGGATGGATGGAGATAGTGATAGACCGGTGGGTAGACGGAAGGATACACGCGGACGGATGGATAGATTATATAAATACACAGACAGAAATATAGAGATATATAGGTACAGACAGACGGAGGGATGGAGGGAGAGACAGGTGGATGGACAAATGAATATAGATATAAATACACAGACAAACATTTACGATAGAGAGATGGATGGACAAGATGGATGATTAGAAAGACAGACAGATATACATGGATGGATGGACGGACAGACAGAAGTGGATGGAAAGACAGATATAAATATAAATACACTGACAAGCCTACATATATGATAAGGACAGATAGACAAGACGGATGATTAAATAGATGGTAGATAGATAAACAGATATAGATGGATATAGATATAAATACATAGACAAACATATAATAGAGGGACAGACAAGATGGACGATAGACAGACGGATGGATGGATAAGTAGGTAGGTGGATGGTGGAGATGTATAGAGAATGGATGGATGGATGGAGGCAGAGGTACGTGGGGAGGCAGACACGTCCATGTGACAGACAGACCAGGGCTGTGCGGACAGACGACCCCGCCGGGCCCCGTCCCTGCACTGCGGGGACACGGGCCTGTGGTCTGTGCAGTCTCGGGTCCCCGATGCTGGGACGCCCGGGTTCTGCCTGGCGCTGCGGGGTGCTCGGCGCTGCACTGACAGGGGGAGGCACCAAGTGCCCGGCAACTCCCGCGTCTGCGCAGGGTTTACGGCTCCTCCCCCGCAGGCTTTAAAGGGCCCGCGCAGCCGGGGCTGGGCGGGAGGTGGGGTCCGGTTTGTAGGCGTCGCGTGTGTGCAGAAGGAGGCACCGGCGCCATGAGGGAGATTGTGCACCTGCAGGCTGGGCAGTGCGGCAACCAGATCGGGGCCAAGGTCAGCCCGGGACCGGGGCCCCGGAGGACGCCCCCGCCCAGCCGGGGTCGGGCCCCTGGGAATCCTCCTCCCCCAGCCCGGATCGGGGCCCCCAGGCTGCCCCCTCCAATCTCCTCCAGCCAGGATTGGGACCCCGGGAACCCCCCTTTCCCGCCCTCTCTTGCCCCAGCTAAAATTGCTCCCCCCCACTCCGGGATCTGGGTCCACAAGCCGCCCCCCGCCCCACCG